AAAAAGAAATTTTATATATGCCTTTCATAGATTTAAATATATTGTATATATGCACAAAATTTCATCAAAATCAGTAGCAATCAATTGCAATATCAAAATAATCGAAAACGATCAAATTCGCAGTTAAATTCAAATTTTTGAGTTTGTTATTGTAATAAATCTTTCTGTAAAAAGTTTTCACATCTTTCAATATTTATGCGTCAATATCTCAAAGATCACAATTCATGAGAAAGTAGTTTTTTAACCGGTTATTTGATATGTTTATATTAAAAGATAAATGGCGGTCGCATGCTTACGCTCTTACTTATATATATAAATAAAATCCTATGTAATATATTTAGTAATTGTTTTTACAAATATTTCGAAAATAAAAGTTATATACATAGAAAAAACTTTGTGTTCTATAACATATCAAAAAATTATTAAATTTCTTTTTGTAATAAAATTATTTACTTATTTTATATTTGAATTATTAAAAGTATTTTAAAAAACTTACAAAATTCAAACTTTTTATGGATTCTTGTTAAGTATCATATTGTTCAAGGTTATCGAATACTTAATACACTTAAAAATATGGATAAATGAATTATATGGCTTCAATACTATTATATACATAAAATTTTCCTTATGTCAATTCGTTTAACATCATGTAACAACGTTATTAAAAATCATAAATAGGGTTATTCATATATATTGTTATATTTAAGCATAAAAAATATCTTATTTAAATAGTTTTTTATATAATTTTAAAAAAAATTCTTGATTTAAAGAAAAATGTAATTTATGATTATATCATAAATAAGTATTATACTTTTCTTTCTCTCAAATTTTATAAGATTATATAATTTACAAGAAATCCTCCTTCAAAAAAATATCAAAAAAATTAATTTTAATCTCTTAACTATTAATAAATTAACAAGTTTATGTTTAAAATTATCAAATATCCGATGGTTATGGATTAGATTTATATACGTAGAATATTGCATGTATCATGACTATATACATATATCCATATGTTCAATGAAAGATCAATCATGCCTGTTCGCAATGTATTGAATTGGAATAATACGCATTCGCATTGAGAATTCGATTTAAAAGGAATCGCGCGCTGGTTCGAATGGAAGGTTGGTTCGTAGCCGTCGCTGCTATCGACGAGTCCATGTATGAAGCAGTAAGCAAGGTAGCCCACACCGCCCTGTAATTCAGACGCCGCAACATCCAAATAAAGAATTCATAATGGCGATGATGACCACCGCCAATTTTCTCGATATAGCCGATACACCAATAACTCAACCGATATCCAACCGGTACATCAGCATAATTTTGCTTATTGTCCTCGGATCCGGCCGAAACAAGAATGACATCGGTGAGAAATAAAACGATTTTCGAGATGAGATGTCGACCGAGGCGTTATCGAGTAGGATACACTTTCTTTATCAAATAGAGGGTGATAAGAAGAACAAACAATTCGGACAATTAATTAATCGCGTCACGCGACCACTCCCCCTCCCCCCTTTGTTTGTCTCGTTATAAAATTATGAATAACAACGACTTGCATGCGATACCCGCGATCTTTAAACATTTCTCTACCTTTTTTCCTCTGCTCGTCCTTCGTTTATCTGATTTATTCACGCTGCTAGCCATGAGAATCATGTAAATTGGTCTTTGAAAAAAAACTTTTGTTCTTCGTTGATCTTTTTTCTCGAACAATTCTTGGTTTCAATGTCACAATGATGGAACGATAAAGTTCAAATGATCGCTTGAATATCGAGAAAATCAAATATAAATATTTCCAATTATTGTATCAATATGGTATTATAATCTTACAGGTTGCCACGATCGAAACAAGAAATCGGCAGAAAGCGATCGCTGTTTTGCATAATCCTCGCAGCAAAGGGAATTCCTCCGGCACGGCCTGGGCAGAAGATCATTTCTCCGGCATTGACACGCCCACGTAATTCGGACTCATTTACTCGTTGACTCGCTTAACCCGCAGCCAGTCATGCGTCAATCAGCCGCGGCCCAGCGCCCGTGCAGATCCATAATTTCGACGCGATCCGCTTCAGCACGCGAGGAACGAGTTTCCCTTGGTCCACAATGTAATTAGACAGCGTGGATCTAGGCTGGACCCATCAACAGGCCTCGTTAATACGATATCCGCCGGATGGTCGCTCGTTGCCCACCGAAATCTTTCCTTTCTCTTCCTTTTTCTTTATTTTTCTATATTTTTTTTTCTTTTTTATTTTTATTTCTTTATTTTTTTTTTTTTAATTTTTTTCCCCCTTTCCTCTTCTTCTTTCTTTCCGCTCCCATCGTTCGTTGTCGTTTTCTCGACCCTTCTTCCTTTCCTCCATCCGTTTTTTAGATTCCTCGTAGACCGACTGCTCTTTGCTCGTGAAGGAAGAACCTCTCTACCTGCCGGGGTCTTTGATCTTCCTCCTCACCAACGAGTTTCATTTACACGGGAGGAGGACTTCTTTTCAAAGCGAAACTAGCCACGTTAACGAGAACTCGCGAACTACGATTCGGTTGTTCTTTTTTCAATCTACACGATGGATGAGGTTAAAATCTTAGCTCCTTAACACTTTCATATACCGGATGATATTTTATGATACAAAATAGCTACTGAATATAGAAAATTATTGTCATTTATCAAAGGGATAAAGATCGGATGTTATTCAGGATTGTAGTGAGTGCGAATAATAGCAAGATTGAAAACTTCACGTTTCTTCGGGATAATCATTTGGATATTGATGGAAATTTATGAAAAAATGCATATAATTTTATCATGTACAGACAATAATTCGAACATAAATATCTGTCCAACTAATTTTTTAATCGTTACAAATCTGTTCGTAAGAATACATATATAACACTAACAAGAAATATTATTCAATTAATAAGAAAAGTGCACAGATGTTTTTCTAAAAATATGAATTAAAAATGTTCTCTAAAATTAATATAATCTTAGGAGGATAAGAGAAGGATAATAAAGAGAAGAAAAAAAGTAGTAGAAAAATGAAAATCATCTTATACATTTATATATGCACAAAAGAAAATTAAAAAAGTTAAATTTTAAAATTAGAGATAAAAAAAATTAAAAAAATGATATCGATGAAATCATAATCGATGAGAAAAACTATTATTAGTAGAATTATTATTATAATAATTTTTTTCTAATTATTATTTATTAATTCATTATTATTAATTTATTATAATTTATTTTTATAAATTAAATACATTATTTTGACATAGCTAGGCAATTTTATTGAAATATAAAAAGATATTCAAATAATAGTCCGAATGAGTAATTCTCAACTTTAACATTCAAAAAAGAAAAATTTTAATTTCTATTTATTTATTCAAAAATATATTTTTTCCAGTTCTTTTATAAGGTTTTTATGAAAGTAGTCACATAACAGCCATCAATTGGTACAACAATCAATAAGGCAAAAACAACATTTAATGTCATCGATTAACATCACTAATAAAACTGGACAAAAAAATCAAAATTAAATTAAAAATCATTGCTATATCTGATAACCAGATAATTGAAATCATCTAATAACTAATACTCGTCCATTTAATAGCAAAATATTTAATCAACATCAGACAAACATTAACATATTTATATTATTACACGTATTTTATTATCTATTTAACGACAATAATAGTATTGATACAACTTCTTGTCGCTTTGATAATAATCTGAATGTTTTGCCGATCATGCAACGATTGCATGCTGTTTATTATTGCCGCATTGACAACTAGATTTTTATTGGTGATATTACATTGGTGATAGATGGATTTATTGAATATTATATTATGTTAATTCACAAATATTCACAAATATTCTTTTCTACGATATAAATGCGAAATGTAATATAAAAATAAAGAAAGAAAGAATTTGAATTAAAATTTTATAAATTTCGACATTTTTGCAAAACGAGTAATAATTAGAAAAATGATCTCATGTATTGTTATGTGTGAAAAATTGTTATATTCATACTATACCATTAAACGATAATCTTAGCGTCAAATTTTTTCTTCTGCCGCGGAATATTGCGGAACAAGATGGAAAAATGTAAAGGAAAAGAACTAGAGGACTCTCGACACAGACACGAAGTTGGTTACAGATGTAAGTAACACGAATGGTTCGTGTTTGGCGCGAATGGGACAGCTGATGAGCCGGTGTCCCCGAAGGCGATTGGCCGAGACCAATCAGCGTTCGTCCGTTCGTCCGTCCGTCCTCGCCCTAATGACACCTGCAGGCTAAAAAGCCATGATATTCAACAGTCCGCTAACGAACTCTCGGTACTGCGTGTGATCCACATGAAAAGTAACGCGCGATCCGTAAGATTCGGTTGAAACGTAATAGTCAATTGCGAGTAACACCTCGCAAAGTTTTTTTCAAAGGAAATCACATAATTGGTCGACAACAGAGAAGATATGTAATATAAAATGTATTCTTGGAAAGTCCTTCGAGAAGAAGCCTGAGAAATCGACAATCATCGCGTGAAGTATCCTGATCTGAATGTTCGAAGAATCGTGGAAATATATTTCGAAGAATTGTTTATAACAATGATATATAAATTGCAGATATTTAGGTATTTAGGGAAGATTTGAATATAAAAACATGTAGAATGTATATGAAAAAAATATCCAAGATATAATACGCATTATAATATTTAAAGAGTAAGCAAATTTCTATTTTTAAGCTCCATCTCTAGTCATATTCATAAAAATTTGATTTTGCATAAAAATCTAAAGTCTAATAAAAATCTAGTCTAAGTTTTGAAATATTTTTAAAATATATATTTATAAAATATTCGAATTATTTTTCATTTTCGTGTCACTATTCCCAGTGTAAATTGATTATAGATATAGAGATCAATTTCCTTGAAAGAAAAAAACAGTATCTAAAATATTTTCATAGTTACATAGAAAATAAAACAGAAACGTGAAATCGAAACGAACATGAATGATAACATGGTATCGGTTATGTATCGTTAATGGAGTGAATGATTTAACAAGTCGGCTAGTTTCGCAGGGTCAACTATATTCATACAATCGATTAATCATCGTTTGACAGTTAAATGAACGGTTCGCGAGGATTAGTCTCGATATTCGGTATACGGTTCTAGTCGACAATGTCCGCCTTCGAGATTGGCGATCGCAGCGCCGCGTTATGGTGTCGAAACGGCCACGTTTGTTTTCTAACCTGAGTCGCCGCCGGTTATCGTGCACTGTGCAATTTCCCGTGTATCATTAATATCGGAACTCGTAGCGGCTGCTTGCAAATTAAACCATTTAATGCACGCATTGGACACCGTTAGAGTCAACTTCGATACTCCGTGAATGCTAACTAGATCTGTTCAACGGTTTCTCGTTCGCTCGTTACGCTCACCGGTTAACCGTGCAATTCCGTGCGTATCGATATTAGAAAATGTGTATCAATACTCGAAATCGTCGACAGTGATGCCACAGGATAATGACAGAGAAAACCGGTAGCCATAATAAATGACAAAGTTAGTTGACGGAACTTTGACGTCGATTTCATTCGCTTGACAGCTTGTAAACGTCAAAATCAGACCTGTCAATCAACCATTTTGATTACCCGTTCGATCATTCCAGGTAACCAGTCTGTCCGAACGAGTTTTCAATGACCGTTAATTACGGCAACGTAGGATAAATGAGACACATACTGAACGTAACATAAAATATAGCTTGATTCGACAACCTATTTTCCATTGTCCTCAAAATGAAGCGTACGATAACGCGGTAAGTACGCTACTTACAGAAAAACAGACGAGGCGAATCAACGGCTACTTTTCCTATACTTTCTATCGAGGAGAGAGGCATTGATTCCATAAATTTTATTTCATTTATTTAATTTCATAATAATATAGTAATATTTTTCAGTTTAATTTTCCAAATTGTTCCAATTTAATTTTGTTCGTGTATGCTAATATATATTTAAAAAATAAATCAAAAGATTTCATGTAAAAATTCATTTATTTTTGTGAAATTAGTGACATAGTATTAAAATTCAGATATTAAAATATATATTTATATATTATGTAAATTATATTTACATATATTAAATATATTTACATATAAAAAAATACAAATTCAAGCAATAGACATTAATAAATAATTTATTAATTTATTAATTTAAACAACAATTTATTTTATTAATTTTGAAAAATATTTATTATTTTTTTAAATAAATTTAGACAAATGTATTGAATGAAATAGAAATACAGTAAGTTTTACATTATCACACTATCTCCATCAAATTGTTTATAATCTAATAGTCAAGTACTAAATCAATATTTTTATTTATACAGCTTGATTCAACAACCTATCTTCCATTGTTCTCAAAATGAAACGTACGATAACGTGGTGAGTACGCTACTTGCAAAACATTTTTGGCTTTTAACATTTTTTTCCTCCAAAAATCTTACGAATATTAATATTTTGTTTGTTGCAAATTTAAATTTATAATTGAATTGAAATAAGGCAATATTTACTTATATAGACAATATTTAATAATAAGTTAGATTCGTTATTGTGTATTAAAAATGCATATAAATCAAAGTTATTAAAAAATTAACTTAATTATGTTATAATTTGATTTTATTGTTAGAATAATTCTCTGTGTTAATATTAATATATGAAATTGTATCTAATGTTTTATGTTACGTCGTTTTTATGTAAGTTTATCATTCAGATAAGATTTATATATAAATAAAAATTTTGAAATTAAATAAATCGAAATGTAAAGTACGTAACATGTAAAACTTATTCGATTAATATCGTAATGTCAACATTATAATGTCAACATCATATTTTTGGGTATCAAATATAATGAAATCAATCAATAATTTGGTTATAATTTGATATATATATCATCATATATTTTTCATTTACAAAATGACGAATCTAACTCAATTGAGTTTAACAGATTTATACATACATCATCAATTAAACATGTTATTAAAATGTGTCAGCGAGACTATCTGGCAATAATATCAATTTTTTAAAAAACAATATACTTTTCAAAATTATTATTAAATTAATTATTATTATTATTTCTTGGATTTATATCTTTCTTTTTTTGCAATATATGATATTAATGATTTAAATCAATATATTAAATAACAAATTTTATAGAAATAGATATAAATAATATATTCCAAAAAAATTAAATCAAATCTATATAGAAAATTTCTTCAAATTAAAATGATTAATGAAACATTAATAATAAGTAATGAATATTTTGAAAAATGTTCATTTTCTTAACAATTTTTAATTTTTCTAATGCGTAAAATCTATTTTAAATTTCTATTCAATATCCAAAATTTTTTTATTTCTGATTATTTTTAATATAAAGAATATTGCTCATTTATCGCTCCAGTTTGATACCAATCATCATTATAAACTTAAATATAAAATCAGTATAAAAATCAGTAAGGTACTGATCTATAGTTTCACGCAACAAGCATACGCGCGTATAGAATGATCAGGGATCACGATGACGTCAGGTTGACGGAACGGAACGGGTACCGGATAGGTTAATGGTAAGGAGGCCCAGGACCAGGCGGCAGGGTCTGCCAGCGGCTTGGCTGCTGATTACAGACCTCTGGATCCCCTATACTCTCGCTCTCACCTCGGTTATTGTACCGAGCGAGGCCGGGACATCACTATAGATCACTGTACGGCCGGCAGTTTGTCCGATCAGCGCGGCCAGAAGTGTTGCAACTCGTAAGCGTGGAGGTGGTCCCGGGCATTCCAGTTTCCAGAGAAATTTATCGGTGGCGTTTCGCGGCCTCTTAATGTGTCTCTTTCCTCGATCCTATTGACTCGCTTAGCCTGTGAACTTGTCGATAGATTGGATTTTTACCGATTTGAATGATCTTGAAATATTTTATTATGGAATTTTCAATAAAATTTTTTGTGTGCAGGGAAACTTTGATTATTTGAATAATAGACAAGATAAGGTTAGGATAATTATTATTAAATGATGAAACATTTTGTTGGACTTTTATTAGATGAATTTTTTTGAGGAATTTTGAGGAATATAAACTTTGCGATAAAATTTAGATAATGGTTTTTTAACTGCCAAATTGCATAAATTTTTTAATATATGAAACTGAATAGAATTGCATTCGAACTATTTTTTAATGCCAATATTTCAAAGTGAAATGATACATCTTCAATATTATTTTCAGTGCATTCTTCTACTATATTAGTATTAAATTTTTAAATATCATTAACAATATTCTTTTCATTATAATTTTAATCGAATTGAAGCTACTATGTTGTATTATGTGGTATTCTCTATATTCTGGTATTCTATGTCATATCGTAATAGATTTTTCTATATTTTGAAAAATGCTCTGTTTATTAATTTCATAAAGCTAAAATTTCTTATATTTTCGCGAATAAAGATAGTGTAAGTAAAGTTCGAGTAATAGAATGTCCGGATATTAGGATTTTTGGATAATAGAAATTCTATTGAATACACAATATATATAATACGTATATATATACATTATATTATATTCCATTCTATGTGTACATATATGTCATTTACATAAAGTATCATATATTTAAATAGATTACATGTATAAAATAAAAGATGAGTATAAGATAATTGAAAGATTTTCAATCTTTAGACAATACAGAATATATTTTTTTGTTCTAGTATAGATAGTCACATTTTAATCGATTTTTTATTAATAGATAAAGTTAATAAAACATGACCTAAGATTTATGATGAAATCATTTATTTTATCTTTCTATAAATTAATTTTAGTTAAATAAAAATGCATTTATATAAGAATCAAATCAAGAAATCTAATAAATTGTTTGTAATATGCTTGTGTATAATATTTAAAAATTCATAAAGATTTTTATTAATTTCATATTGTAATAATATAGGTAATTTTTACGTTTCTTACTGCTGCTATTTTGAAAAATTATTCAAGTGATTATTGAAAATAAAGGATTTCATTTTTTTTTATATATATGTATAAAAGCATAAAAAATATGCAATACGATAAAAAGAGATTGTAATAGACGTCATAAATAGAATTTAATGGAATAATGTCGTTCTTAGATTATTGATTGTTTACAAATGCAATATTTATTTATACATATAGTTTTAAACAATTATCGTGCAAAAGAAGTATTCTTTAATTTTCATTTTCATAAAATAAAACAAAGATCAATAAGATTTTTTAAAATGAATATTTTATTTCATAAATAAATATAAAACTAATACATTATTGAATATTTACTATTGAGTTTTAATGAAATTAAAATAAATTGATTTCACAATTTACTTTTCTTACTTTTCTTCAAGCATTCATTATCATTCATTATCATTCATTAATTATTTTCGATGAATCTAAATTTGTACAAATATATTTTTCTATAAATAATAATATATATATTAATCATAATTTTAGATATAATCGATCTGCGTTCAATTGCAGACTTATTAAAAACGACACTGATAACACTAGCGAAATTTTCGTGCCAATATTTCAAAGACCATTGATGACACATAAAAAAAAAATTGCTCCAAGTAACATCTCTAACAACATATTTTAAATTCATCGAGAGAAGAACATAATTTAATTTCGTAGATCGTTTAACCTTTCTTCTGAACGAAATGCCCAGATCATTGCCAATTGACAAGTCGTTTCCAAACGACTAATCTAAAAACCTTGAATATTCCTGTCTAAATGATTTCTTAAGATATTTAAAGGAGGATAAAAATTGGGAGATCGACGAACGACGATTGTCTATATCGTGGTAGAAAATGTCATAATCTACAACGAGTTCGAACGTGGAAGAATCGTTGGTTGAATCGGTTAACTGGAGATTTAGTTCCGTGGACTAGGTTCGGCCGTGGCTACGTCTACACTAGGTTGCATAGCGTGGCGTGTGTGTCGGCGCAGGTAGATTAGAGGCCGCGGGATAATTAAGTAGCGCGTTCGACTAACGCCCAGGCTACAACGCTCCGCAGAACGATATCCGATATTCGTGCCACGGATTTCCCTCCAAGAGGATTTCGCCTCGTTCCTTTCCTCCGCCTCTATCGTATTCCGATATCTTGAAGCGTAGTTGGTGGTACTCCAACGGTCAGCCCAATTAGCATTGAAAAATGATACCTAATGGCAAAGTGGATTCGATACCCATTCTCTTCCCTTCTTTTTTCTTCCCCCACCCTCCTCCTTTTTTTCTTTCCCGCAATGTAATAAACGAGGAAGTAATTAGAAAACGTGTAGTCTCTGATTAATTTGAAACGTTTCAATCTTTTTTCTTTTTTTTTTTTTACGTCAAACACGTTTCTACAAATGGATGCTCGAGAGTTTTTGGGATCGGAGGAGAATACGGAGGAGACAAAAGGTGGTTGGCCACGGGCTTGGAGGATTCCACGGATCCCGGGAACACAGCATCACGGCACACGGGGGTTCGGATTATTAGTGAGCGGGTAGTCGTAGAAGGTGTGATTCTGACGTGCCGGACGCCTCTTCTCCGCAGGTGAGAGACCACGGGAGAACGGAGCGAGGAAGGACAGAAGAGGCCTGTTGTCGGAGGGAGAGACGAGAAATCATCCGCGGTGAAGAAGAGACCGTGAGGAGAGAGAGAGAGAGAGAGAGAGAGAGATATCGAAATCGTAGCGGCCAACTCGGAGCACGAGCAAAGCGAGGAGAGAGAAGGAACGATAGGGG